AATCGTTAACAACTGTTACCAATCGTTACCAATCGTGACCGATCGTTACCAACATGGCGGCACGTTTTCGAAGCGACGCTCCGCGAGGACAGAAGAATATCAAAAATGGCGTCGCGAGGTGTCCAGAGAAATTTGCTACACCGGTAATTCCTCTCGCATCGATCACGATCGATTGACTCGAAAGTGATACGATCGAGCCGTTTCTCGTTGTCCCAGGTAGCAATTACTCGGGACGATCGATGATCTCGGGATCGATTAAACCTGTACCTCTGAAACGCGACGATATTCGAAGTCACGATGTTGCAGTCCCTTTTTCTCCCGAGTTGCAAACCTGTTCCCTCGAACTGTATAATTTCTGCGAGAAGCGTGCAAACTTCTGCAACTTTGCTTTTTCTCCCTCGAAATTGCAGACGCACGAAGAAACCGGCGAATAATATCGGTATCAAAGAATCCAGCGATCCTCCGATTCGATTAATCGGAGATTTATGACAGATTTATGCTAACTCCCCCGGTCACCGAGTAGGCTACTAAAATTCCAAAGGAGGATTAGATTTGCAATTCAACTCGGTGCAAACTTCGCTGTCCGTAATAGGTTCGCTGTAAGAAATGGTATTAGGCGACTACCAGTACAAACGAGAATATTCTACGTACTCTAAGTTGAAAAAGGAGAAAAGAACAAATTATAATAAATCAATCCAAAAAGATCTACGTATGTAATTAAATGTCTCTGCTTGTCATACCTCGATGGAATCTTCGCCGAGTCGGTCCACGACTACACGGAACACATCCTGCTATTAACGCCACGTTCCTCCGTTTCCGTTTCTCCGCGAACCGTCCCGCATCAAGGTCCAAATCTCACATTCGACCGGACAGAAACGCGTTTCCTCCGATTCCTAAACATCCCCGTTTCGTCTCCTGTTCTCCTCGAATATCTCTCCCCGAACCCCCCATCACTCGTCCTTCGCCAAGAACGCTTCCTCCGCGTGGGAAATAACAACATCAGGAATGGAAAAATCGCGCGAAAAATCGGTGGATCTCGACCACTGGCTACACGCGGGATATCCTGGCTATCGGAAATAAATAAACAGGCACAGGCGGAAAAGGGAGCGAAAATCAGCGGAACGATTATTAAGTAGAATTGCGAGTTATTGCACTGCTCAAGCTGGCCTATAGCACACCGTCGTCAGATACACGCGCCGACTCGGGCCTGTCTCCGATGCGTTCGGCGTGTTCGACACGCGCTCCCGATATCGCGTTTATGTCGATGCGTGATAGGAATTGGGTAAGAGCTCGCGAGCAATCGCGAGCACGCGTACACACAGAGCGCGGTTTACGGGAACGTTTCGCGAGACAGACGTTCGCCAACGATAATCGATAATCTCTCGTTAACGCGATGTAATTAGCCGGCCGGATTCGGCCGGACCAATCTCTCTCGCCGAGGCTTTCGGGATCGAGAAGACTCGAGCTCGGTGAGAATGGTTCGAAAAATGTGGGTAGCCATGGCGCCGGATGGACGCGTCAGACGAGTCGGCTGCGACGAGCTTGGTTCGACGAGCGCGAAGAGACGAGGAACCGCGAGCGCGCGGCAAGATGGCGGCGCGAGATGCTCGGAAACTCGGAAGCGGAACGAGAAAGGCGAATATTCCGGGGGCACTTGGACGCGTGCGCACTGCCGCGACTTCCTCGCTAGATCGGCGGCCCCGCGGCCCCGCGTTTAAAAATTTCTTTCGTTTCGCTTAAGTGTGTTTGAACGTCCCGCCGAATCGGCGTCTGAGTCGCGTCCCGCCGCGTCGGACGTTTCTCTACCCCTCCCGTAAGTCCCGTACTCCCTCCCCGTCGTCAGTCCTAACCCAACCCCCCTCCCCGGGCCCCTGTTGCCGTTCCACCGTATCGTAATCGTCGGCGCGCGCGAATCCCAACCCCCACCCCTTGTCAACTGTATAAAATATTCTCAATCGTATCAACAACAGTCACATCGTACATCGTACAACGTTATTACATTATTACAATAGTTTATAGTTAATCGTAATCAATATAATATTCACAGCATTTTATGAAAATCTCTTAAAAGCACCAACCGTGGCGGCTCAAATTTCTCCATTCGTCCTCTTTCTTTCTCGCTTTCTCTCTATCTTTCTCTCTCTCTCTCTCTCTCTCTCTTTCTCTCTCTTTCTCTCTGTGTGTCTTTCTCTCGCACTCTCTCTCTCTCTCTCTCTCTCTTCCTTTCAATGTCCGTAGATATTATCTCGCGCGAATTATCTCGATTAAAAAACCCCTGATCTTGCATCTTCGTCGTCCTCTTCTTCTTGATCGTCTTCTTTCTCTTTTCTTTGTCCCCTTTCTCGCCGGATTTCTCTTTCTCACTCTTTCTCTCTCTTTCTCACTGCCTTTCTCTCTCGTTCTCTCTCTCTCTCCACCCTTTTTCTCGTTCTCTCGTTCTCCCTCTCATTCACATATATATATATATATACCTTCAATAATTTATAGATATATATATATAATATATATATATATGTGTATATATATATATACATATATATATGTATGTATATATAAGCTAAACGTTTCGTCTTAAAGCACTGATTAAACGAGGGAGCTCGTTTTAACGTGTCCCTCCCTCTGAACACGCGTTTACCAACCATCCTAACCAAAATCACAGGACTAACTAGAAACACCGCCGGCTTGTTGCCTCGTCGCTCAGTGGGGATCGATGAACGCGAGGTGTACACCCTCCATGGGGACGAACGAAAAGACAGGAGAGACCAGGAACGATAACAGGGAGAAGCCGCGGCCGCGGGGACTCGCGGGGCCCGATGGGCCCCGGCGGCCGCGCGGCAACGGAGGAGGCGCGCGAACGTGTCACGGCGGCGAACGTTCGTCGAGACGCGCAGGAGGCTGAACGACGGAACCTGGTGCGTCGAGAGAAGGACACGATGACGGACGATAACCAGGAGAAGAAACGGTAGTATCAGCGGGGTGGATAAACAACGAAAGAAATGCGAGAAACAACGAGCGAACGATAACGAGGCACCGCTATCGGCAGAGCCGCTCGTGTCCGTGTCTCCCGTTCCCTCGTCCGACCTTATCATCCCCAGTGTCACGCGGACAACGACGTCGAGTCCCCGACGTGGCGTCGGACCAATCGTCGGACCAAGCGCGATCCTCGTCCCGTGTAGAGAATCCTCCATCGCGGTGGTGGCGATCGATGGGAGAACGGCGTTGATCGCGACGTCCGATGGACATCTAGACGACGACGACGACGACGACGACGACGACGACGAAGGGGAACGGAAACGAAGAAGGAGAAGAAGAAGGTGTATCGATCGGCGATTCTTCCTCCGGCGGTGATGAACGTGGCGGTTGTTGCACGGTCTAAGGCGAACTCAATGATGCGGCGGTGGCGGCGGCGGGGCCTCTTCCTCGGAGGGATCCACGGGACTCGGGGACAGGAACTTGCGCACATACTTGGAATAATGTGTCTTTTCGTGGGCCTTCAGTATCGTCGACCTCGAGAAGGTCTTGCCGCACAGCGTACACCGGAACGGACGTTCGCCGGTGTGCACCCGACAATGGTCCTTCATGTGGTGGCGCAACTTGAAGGCCTTGCCACAGAACTCGCACTTGAAGGGCCTGTCGCCTGTATGCGCCGGTAGGTGGGCTATCAGAGAGCCGACGTCCGGGAACGACTTGCCGCAGAACTTGCAGAGGACGACGCCGGAGGTCGGGTCCGAGTGGGCCGCGAGCTCGAGATCCATCGGCTCGATCGTACCTGCGGTGGGGTAGTGGGCCTCCGGCGGCAGGTGCATGCCGGTTTCGAGACCCAGGTGAGCCTGCAGCTGCAGGTGGGCCGCCTGCTCACGGTACTTGAGCGACTCGAGGCTGTGCGAGAGGATGTGCCGCGCCAGCTTGCTCTGGTGGAGGAACGAGGCACCGCAGTACATGCACGCAAACATCCGCTCATCCACACCCATCAACTCCTGCAACCAAACAAACAAGAACATCAACTTCTTGTCTTCCCTTTAGCTCGTCCGTAACACCCCCACAGTGATATATGCTTCTTGCTCTCCCTTTCGCTTTTGCTTTCGCTTTCGCTTCCGCTTTCGCTTTCGCTCTCGTTCTCCCTCTCTTTCTCTCTCTCTCTCACTCTCTCCCTTTCTTTCTCTCTCTTTCTCTCTCTCTCTTTCTCTCTCCTCACCAATGTCTTTTCTTCGCTTTCTCTCTCTCTCTCTCTCTCTCTCTCTCTTTCTCTCTCTCTTTCTCTCTCTCTTTCTCGCCTTTGCTTCTATCTAATTCGTCTATGCAAACTACCCGTCTATCCGTTCCTATCTATCCATCTATTTATTTATCTATGTTTGCATCTATTCGTCTATCTTGTTTGCAAAACTTTCCGTCTCGTTTACTTTGAAGTGATCGTTTCAAGCAGAAAACAGACATCTCTCTCCGTCTTTCTCTTTCTCCGTCACTTGTGACACATGGATGGTATATGGGCCCCGGCGGCCGCGCGGCAACGGAGGAGGCGCGCGAACGTGTCACGGCGGCGAACGTTCGTCGAGACGCGCAGGAGGCTGAACGACGGAACCTGGTGCGTCGAGAGAAGGACACGATGACGGACGATAACCAGGAGAAGAAACGGTAGTATCAGCGGGGTGGATAAACAACGAAAGAAATGCGAGAAACAACGAGCGAACGATAACGAGGCACCGCTATCGGCAGAGCCGCTCGTGTCCGTGTCTCCCGTTCCCTCGTCCGACCTTATCATCCCCAGTGTCACGCGGACAACGACGTCGAGTCCCCGACGTGGCGTCGGACCAATCGTCGGACCAAGCGCGATCCTCGTCCCGTGTAGAGAATCCTCCATCGCGGTGGTGGCGATCGATGGGAGAACGGCGTTGATCGCGACGTCCGATGGACATCTAGACGACGACGACGACGACGACGACGACGACGACGAAGGGGAACGGAAACGAAGAAGGAGAAGAAGAAGGTGTATCGATCGGCGATTCTTCCTCCGGCGGTGATGAACGTGGCGGTTGTTGCACGGTCTAAGGCGAACTCAATGATGCGGCGGTGGCGGCGGCGGGGCCTCTTCCTCGGAGGGATCCACGGGACTCGGGGACAGGAACTTGCGCACATACTTGGAATAATGTGTCTTTTCGTGGGCCTTCAGTATCGTCGACCTCGAGAAGGTCTTGCCGCACAGCGTACACCGGAACGGACGTTCGCCGGTGTGCACCCGACAATGGTCCTTCATGTGGTGGCGCAACTTGAAGGCCTTGCCACAGAACTCGCACTTGAAGGGCCTGTCGCCTGTATGCGCCGGTAGGTGGGCTATCAGAGAGCCGACGTCCGGGAACGACTTGCCGCAGAACTTGCAGAGGACGACGCCGGAGGTCGGGTCCGAGTGGGCCGCGAGCTCGAGATCCATCGGCTCGATCGTACCTGCGGTGGGGTAGTGGGCCTCCGGCGGCAGGTGCATGCCGGTTTCGAGACCCAGGTGAGCCTGCAGCTGCAGGTGGGCCGCCTGCTCACGGTACTTGAGCGACTCGAGGCTGTGCGAGAGGATGTGCCGCGCCAGCTTGCTCTGGTGGAGGAACGAGGCACCGCAGTACATGCACGCAAACATCCGCTCATCCACACCCATCAACTCCTGCAACCAAACAAACAAGAACATCAACTTCTTGTCTTCCCTTTAGCTCGTCCGTAACACCCCCACAGTGATATATGCTTCTTGCTCTCCCTTTCGCTTTTGCTTTCGCTTTCGCTTCCGCTTTCGCTTTCGCTCTCGTTCTCCCTCTCTTTCTCTCTCTCTCTCACTCTCTCCCTTTCTTTCTCTCTCTTTCTCTCTCTCTCTTTCTCTCTCCTCACCAATGTCTTTTCTTCGCTTTCTCTCTCTCTCTCTCTCTCTCTCTCTCTTTCTCTCTCTCTTTCTCTCTCTCTTTCTCGCCTTTGCTTCTATCTAATTCGTCTATGCAAACTACCCGTCTATCCGTTCCTATCTATCCATCTATTTATTTATCTATGTTTGCATCTATTCGTCTATCTTGTTTGCAAAACTTTCCGTCTCGTTTACTTTGAAGTGATCGTTTCAAGCAGAAAACAGACATCTCTCTCCGTCTTTCTCTTTCTCCGTCACTTGTGACACATGGATGGTATATGCGCGTTCCCGCTACTTTCGCCGCGACAAATCGCTCGTTTCGACGCTACTCGACTCGCAGCGTACACGGATACACATATATCGCACGGTATATACATATATGCATGTACGAGCCGCGTCGCGACGCGACGCGACGCGCCGGGCTTCAATCGGCGCGCTCCTCGTTCGAAAAAACCCGCGTCTCTCACTCTCTCTCTCTCTCTCTTTCTGTTTCTCTTCTACGCTCTCTCCTCTCTCTCTCTCTCTCTCTTTCTCTCGCTCATCCTCTCTCTCGCTCTCGTTCTCTTTCATTCTCTCTCTCTCTTTCCTTCTACGTCTTCGTTGCCTCTTGCGTGTTCTCTCTGCTCTCTCGACCTTTCCGACTACTTTTTGCCTTTACGTTCTCTCTCTATATCGTCACTAAACCGTTTTGGATAAAATACAAAAAAAAAAAAAAAAAAAAAAAAAAAAAAAAAAAAAAAAAAAAAAAAAAATAATAGTAATAATGGAGAAAAAAAAAATATTAAGAACAGGCAAGGCTTGTCTTCGCGAGACCACTACCGTTTTTTTGAAAAGCGCGCGCTTTTGGCACGACCGGATGTTACGCGCGTACGCGAGGTTCCTTCTCTGTCTTTCCTTCCTTCCTCCTCTGCATCGTCGTGATCAACCCCTCTGGTTCGGTGGAAATAAAAGAAGTACCTGGCCTGACGAGAAAATGATACCTCTCGACGGCATGTAAGACGGTAGCACAAGAAGTTGACGCTCATTTTTGTTTGGCACGACGCGCACCCCAGAGATTACATATGTATAATGACAAGGGACTGTCTGATTGTGTGTGTCAAAACAGCGTATACGACGAACGTGTTTTATATATACACACGTATACGGGAGCATTATACGTGCCTATATATACGTACATAGCCGCGTATATGTGTCGTTGTGGGATAACACATGTACGGGCCCACGGCAACCCCCACAGCCTCGCTCAAGAACAACAACAGCCCACCCGACCCCTCGTCCCTCCTCCGATTTTTCTTTTCTTTTCTTATCTTTTCTTTTCTTTTGCTTTTCGTTACCCCCTTCCCCCGTTTTCCGTACCGTATCTTATCTCTGTGTTTTCTTTTTTTCTTTTTTTTCCGTCTATATCAATCTTTTTTCTCTGTAGTTATATGTTTATCGTACCGGTAGTAACCGCGGCCAAGATGGCCGCCGCGGCGGAAAATGGTACGCCGCAGCAAAAGGCATTGCACTCAATCCAAAAAAACGACAAATCGAAATACAAATATTACAAAGTAACAAATGGTAATAATATAATGAATGTCAATATAATTTGTATATGTATATAACGAAAGATATATATATTTATATATGTATACATATATATGTATGTCGGACGTGAGTATATATATATGTAACTTGCACATAATATCAGTACATGTATGTAACGATATATATGTATTGCGTATATATATGACGTGTATATATATGTATATACGTATATATGTATATATATATACATTTACGTATTGATATATATGTATATATATATATATAAAATGTAGTAAAAAACAACCATGGCCAAAAACGAAGGTCAACTTCTTGACAGTGAGCTAGCAAGACAGGCTGGCAGGATGGGACGAAACAGGAATATCGTAGTACGTGGTGTTACGCGCCGGTTTTCCTTCGATCGGCCGACGAGATCGGCCAGGGGTGTCACACAGACACGGATTTCCGAACACGCGATCGGCGAAAACGATCCCCGAAAATCGGCCGATCGCGAATCGGCTCCATTTCACGCGGAGCTGCGATTCGCTGCGGCCTGCTTCCAGATACCGATCTTCGCCGATCGCGGCGATCGTGGGAAGGCCAGGATTCACGATCTCTCGTGGACATTCATTTTTCGTTTCACTTTCTTTCCCCGGATTCACGAGAATAGAGAAGAGGGAGGAAGAGCAAGAGCGAGAAGTCGAAGAGGAAGAAGAATGACGCGAAGATCGATGGAAAACAGCGCGCTAAAGGGGTCGACAGACGCGCGTGAAACAGCGAAAGAGAGAGGCCGGAGAGTGGCGCAGATGGATATGCGAGATAGGGGTGAAGAACTAGGAGCAGACGGAGAAGAGAGAGAGAGAGAGAGAGAGAGAGAGAGAGAGAGAGAGAGAGAGATGAGAGAGAAGACGGGAGCATGGGAGAATTAGTCGGGAAGAGAAGATGACACGTTGGTGAGAGTAGACGGCATGCACGATTCGTCTCCTTCTGCGCAGGCGCGTCTCGAGATGTTTTTCGGCGCTGAAGCTAGAACGATCGGCAAGCGGCTAGGTTTCGCAGTTGATCAGGTCTCACGCTTGTCTCTCATTTCGCTTTTTCCTCGTTTTACTCTTAGTCTTTTCCCCTCTTTTCCTCGGTGTCCTATCGCGCGGCTCCGCGGTTCGTCGAAGACCTCGGCGAAAAGGAAGAAGAGATACCGGGAAAGTCGCGAGTCGAAGGATCTAGAGAGTGGTCGAATCGGTAGCCCTCACGTAGTCACACGTCGCTCACGGATCCGATTTCGCATCGAACTCTGCGCTCTGTTCAACGAATTTCTCTACGCTGATGCACGCCCGTGTCACGCACCCACGGAATACGCTACGCAAAGCGGAAATCCCACTGCTTGAGAAGGGAGAATGAACGGTTTTCACTCTTAGTCATCGGACCTCCGATCACACTCTACTCTCGATCAGGACGGCTTAGCGACTCTGTTAATGACACGATCACTTTCAAAATTAGCGGGGAGAGCAGCAAACAGCAAAGCACTTGGGCACGCATGCAAATAGACCCACATGCAAGTGAACTCGAAATATAATGTATGCCTGTCTATCTGTCTGGCGCGGATAGATAGGCAAACAAAATAGATAGATATAAATAGATAGATAGATAAAATGGATCGTGTTGAAACGTTTCTCGAGCTGTCTTCGCGACGAATTCGCCGTTTCATTCGTCGTTTCGATCCGCAGGATCGTCTTGTACAACCCGTGGTCGTCGTCGACGAGTAGCGCGTAAACGAACGATTCGTCGTAATCCTCGCACGACGCGGGATGCATCGAGATCCAACAAATTCCACACGTCTCTACTTCTCTAGCATATTTTTTTCAATCTATTTTTGCATTTTTTTCTTTTTTCTTTTTTTCATTTCTCTACTACGTCTACTGCGTTTATTCTTTTATTCTATTCGTTATTCTTTTTTTTCAAATTTTTTCTACTTTTTTTTTCTTTCTTTTTTTATCGTTTCAATTTCGGTTTTCTTTCGTTCTTTTTTTTCTTTTTTTCTCGTTTCCATTTTCGTTTTCGCTCGCAAGACTCGCGCCGGCTCATCAGCGACGGTGCACGCGCTTGCGGATGAGTCGACGCCGACACACAACCGGCGATAACCGTAATCGATATATATATATATATATAAATGCAGAGTAAAGAGAAAGTACGAGAATAAAAAGTAGTCAATAAATTGGAATATATAGTACGGAGAAAGAGGGAAACTCACCGGATCTGGTGGGAGTCTGTAATCCGTGGATATTTCGCTGCTAGCACTGCGCTCCTCGGTCGACCTTTCCCAGTCCATCTCTTTTTTTAACGACTGCAAACGAACATCGGGCTCACGTCAAGGTAATAATTGGATAGCTGTCGATGCTATTCGCCAAGTACGAACTTGCCCGCGCGGAGGCCGCGGCCCCCGAGTCATTAGCATTCGCGATTCCGCGAGGAAGCGCGATTAACTCGATCAACGATTCGGGGCTCGCGGTAACTCTGCACGGGCCCGTAATTCGGTTACTCCGAATAAAAGAGAGAAAATTAGAAAAATTGAAAATAGGAAAATTAACAAAGTTTAACGCGTGTATTTTGTTTAACGCTAACGAGAGTAACGCGAAATAAAAATCGCGATTTGGGGGTCAAATGTAACGATAAAACGCGAGAGTGATTAGGGTGCTGTGGAACCCTCAGAGATTATGCAAATGGGATATTTCTTCGTAGCTCGTTACGCGAATCAACGTGCATAATTAAACGGAAGAAATATACGATATTAAAATTCGAAATGGAATTAAAAATAAATCGAGAAGCGGAAAATTTATTAAAAATATATCGAAAAATGTATCGGTTAGGTGGTTCGCAATTTTGTAATAAGAATATTGTATCTTATCCTTAGTTATCGTCATTAATATTGCTCTCCCTGAAATGTAAAATGATCGGTATGAGGGAAAATAATTTTCTCGCCGTCATCGGAGAAATTGTGGGCATACTAATCGAGTCTCGAGGAGATTTTGCTGTTTTGTAACGTCGAACGTGTAAAATTTATTGGGGGATATTTAGAAATAAAATTTTGGAGCCAAAGAAATGATAGTAAATTGATAATTCGATATTTTCCGAGATTCTACCGTGAATATCGCAGGAAAATACGAGAAACAAAAGTGGACATAGTACTTATGCAAACAAACGTTACACGTAGCAGAACGGAAAATTAGCATATCGACGAATTGCAAATTCGATGCTTCACTGTCACGACTTCGAGAAATCTACTATCGGCTAGGCGATAAGGACGCGATAAGAACGAATTGAAATTCGCTAAAATAACTAGCTAAAAATTATGACCCTTTGCGGTCCAAGGCGCTAGCAAGATACGAAAATAACAATTTTGACGAGTCAAAATTAATAATAAAAATTAAGAAAGAAACGAGTATTTACATACTCTGAATGTCAAGTAAAACATCCACTGGATCACAAAGGATTAATCTCTTTAGGAACAAATCTTTTTCAAATTGATATTAGAATTATCTCAAAGCAGTGACTATAAAATAAAACAAATTGACTGAATTTTCTTTCCGCGAAGTCGGTAGCAACATTCAAAAATAACAATTTTGACGAGTCAAAATTAATAATAAAAATTAAAAAAGAAACGAGTATTCAAATACTCTGGATGTCAAATAAAACATGCACTGGATCACAAAGGATTAACCTCTTCAGGAACAAATCTTTTGCAAGTTCACATTAGAATTATCTCAAAACAGAGGCTTTATAATACTACAAATTGATCCAATTTTCTTTCCGCGAAATCAGTAGCAACATCCAAAAATAACAATTTTGACGAGTCAAAATTAATAATAAAAATTAAAAAAGAAACGAGTACTCAAATACTCTGGATGTCAAGTGAAACATCCGCAAATAGGACCACCAAGGACCTCTTCAGGGACGAATTTTATTCAAATTAATGTTACAATTATCTCAAAGCATTGACTATAAAATAGGACAAATTGATCCAATTTTCTTTTCACAAAGTCGGCAGCAAGATCCGAAAATAATTTTGACATGCCAAAATCGATAATAAAAATTAAAAAAGAAACAAATACTTAAAGACTTGGAATGTCAAATAAATCATCCACAGGACCGCAAAGGGTAACCTCTTCAGGGACGAATCTTTTTCAAATTGACGTTAGAATTATCTCAAAGCAGTGATTATAAAATAAGACAGATTGTTCCAATTTTCTTTTCACGAAGTCGGTAGCAAGATTCGGAAATAACAATTTCGTCGCGCCAAAATTAATAACAAAAATTAAAAAACAGACACCTCTACTTAACACGTTGACTGCCATAGTGATCATCAATGGCGCCATTGTGGTCAGAAATGCCCAACAATACTAATTTTATTAATTTATATTTCTTTTATTCTAACCAAAATTCGACTTTCCGCAAATTGTAGCAACGTAAATAAATATAAAATTTCGTATAGAAAATATTAATAATTTGCAGCATTTCTCTTTTGCCATATTGTTCGATAATTCATCGTACAAATTTGATCCTGGCCCCCTAAGCGTTCCATATAAAACCTACATGGCAGTCAAAGTGTCAAACACTTGGGACGTCAAGTGAAACATCGGCAAACAGGACCGCGAAGGATTAACCTCTTCAGGGACGAATCTTTCACAACTTACTGTCAAAACGATGTCAAAGCGGTGACTCTAAAATACTACAAACTGATCCAATTTTCTTTCCACGCACGTACATGCAAATATCCCCGAAGAGGCGCAAATTGCCAAGGTCCAAGGCGCGAATAGAGAAATAAATAATAGGTGTACTCACAAGTGGAACTTGCTGGACTGGGGGTAACCCCGACGGGCCCGCGAGAGGCTCTGTACTGTGCGGGGACGGAAACCGGCTCTGCGGCAGGTTCAACGGTAGCACACCAGGCGTGCTTCCGGTATTGTTACTTAGACTCATATCCGACGGTCCACTGTGCACCGAGATCGGGCTAAGGGAACCCCTCGTTTCTTCTAGACTGGCGGCATCTTCGGAGTCCCTCCTAGGTCGATCGAGCGCCAACGGTCCTGGACAGGGGCTACCGGGTCCGGTGGGCGATGGCGGACAGTCCGTCATATCTACGGCCTCGACGGACTCGCTGGTGGGTGGTTGGGGTAGGTTCTGTTGGGGCTGTTCGCATTCTTTCACCCCCGCCGATGGCAAGCCCGTGCCACCGGACGCGTTTCCTTCCCTGTCTCTCTCCTTATTGCTCGCTTCCTTTATGCTCTCGCGTTCACGGTGATGTTCTCGCGACGTCTCGCGCTGTATACCCTCGGATGTGCTCGTGTGTTGTTGTTGTTGTTGTTGTTGTTGCTGTTGTTGCTGCTGCTGCTGTTGTTGCTGCGGTTGCTGCTGCTGCTGTTGTTGCTGCTGCTGTTGCTGCTCGTCCCTCGACGCTACCGCCGCGTTGATGTTCGTCATATCCGCTAGACCCTTCACCTTAAGGCTCTCCGCTGTCTTGAGGAGGGCCGATAGCTGGCAGTACTCGACGTTTACCTCGCCCTTGTACATGAAGTCGACGAGGGTACGTAGCTCGGCGAAACGTACGTCCTTTAGGATGACTATGGGGTGGCGGTTCGGGTGGTCGAGGAATAGGGCCTGGAAGTAGCTGGAGCACGCGGAGAGGACTACCTTGTGGGCACGTATCGAAGGTCCCTCCGTGCACGCCAGTGTCACGTCCACCAGCGACTCCGACTCCAGCAGTTGACTGAACACACCCAGCAAGTTGCTCTGATGATTGTTCCACCTCAGGCAGTAATGCTCACTTCCCATGTCTGAACTGCACCCCGCAACCCTGCTGCAGAAGAAACATTTGTACCGCTCCTGTGCGCGCTAACGCTCTTCTCGCTCTTCTTCCGTTCATCTCCGACGTATTTTCCTTTCTTTCTCTCGCTCTCTCTCTCTCTCTCTCTCTCTCTCTCTCTCTCACTCTCTCTTTCTTTCTCTCCTCTCGCTCTTTTCCACGCTTGTATTCCTCCTTTCTATGCCTCTCCGTGTGCGTGTTTCTTTCATCTTTTCCCTTCTCTTTTCTATCTTTTGCTTTTCTTTCTTTTCTCCTCTCTTTCTCTCTCTTTCTTTTCGCTTTTCCGCGTCGCTCCCGTGCTCATTGTCGACCGTGCTGCTGCTCACTGCCTCGTCGTTGAAGTTTCCGGGGTTAGTTGCTCGCGCGACACCCGTGCGTTTTTAATTCGCGACGGAAGCCGCGTGTTCGCCGGAGAGAGACATGTCTCGCCGGGGTACCGCAAGTATCTGGGAACGGAACTGGGCGATCGGTGCAGCCGGGATTGGCTTTAACACTTGGCACGTCTTTTTGTCGATCAACATCGTGTCTTATATATGCTCGTGCGATAATATTTGCGCGGGGTTAGGTTAAAAATTAGATTCAAAATTAGATTAAACATTGCTCCGCGAGGTTGAATGACACCGTGCTGGTATTTTCGATAGGGAATAGTGCGGAATTAATTATTCCTTTGTTTATTACAGATTAATTAGAATAGGGGAAGGGATACTAAGTTCCTGTTAGGTTAAAAATTGCTCTGCCATGTCGAATGACATCGTGGTGGTATTTTCGATAGGGAATAGCGCGGAATTAATTGTTCCTTTGTTTATTACGGATTAATTAGAATAGGGGAAGGGATACTAAGTTCCTGTTAGGTTAAAAATTGCTCTGCCATGTCGAATGACACCGCGATGGTATTTTTGGCGGGAAATAGCGCGGAATTTATTTTTCCTTTGTTTATTACGGATTGATGGGAATGAAGGAAGGGGATATTAAGTTCTCGTTCGATGGAAGTCGGGTAATTACGAAATCGACGCGCCTAATTTATCTCGGATGACATTTGAAGAAGGTTCGAACGGTACCCGCGCGAGTTCCGTGTCACGCGGGCTGTAACCCATGACGGTCGGCGGGAGGTAAACTCTCATGGAAGAAAGAAAGACGTCTCGAATGTTTAAATAAGATTAAAGTCTCAAATATTCACTACGAATACCGTGTTTCTCGCGTCTACTCGCTTGCTCTTTTTCTATGCTCGGAATGCATTAACCTTTGCGGAGTGTAACGCGTACGAGAGATTGTAAGGTTGCAATTTTACTCGCTGGTAGTACATTGCGAATATAGCCATAATTTTCTAGCAGCGGCTTCGTTGCTACGTCTCGCGATTAAAGTTGCAACCGATTTTACAAATTTGCATCGGGTATTTCAAATTTTTTCGATTTTAATGGAAAATCTGTAGCTCGAGGTTCTGGGGAATGTGGTGGTTATCGGATTGCATTAATTGGCGGGAATTACTTGGGACGTAATTTATAAATTCTTGGAAGTCTGTGAAATTTTTGAAATTCGCGGTGCTGGTTTCATATGGTAAGAGAAATATTTTCTTATTAACGAATAAGTGGAAAAATTAAATTGAGTTTATTTATAGAGAAACAGTTGCATTCTAAAGATTCCTGTAAATTTTGTAGACACGCGAGGTTTTTTAAATTTTTAAACGGAGTATGTATAACGTAGACTGCTATTATAATTTTTCTATTCGATACCCTTCTTAGCTATATTTTCAGAACTTCGAATCACGACAAAAATTATAGAAAATTTCATGATTCTAACACTCGAAACTTCTTTGAGCTTCGGAAAACATCGGGATCTTGACATTTTAAGAGATCCACCAATAAGGAGAAAGAAAAAAGAAAATATTTTCACAGAGTTCACCAAGAAATTCCACTGAGGCCATTTTTATTACGACCTACTCTTCACGCCTCTTGAGAATTTTTAACCTCGACATAAATTATAGAAAATCCCAAGATCCTACTACTCGAAACTTCTTTGGGCTTCGAAAAATATCGGGATCTTGGCATTTTAAAAAACCCACCACTAAGAAAGAATAAAAAATTAAATTTCTCTGCGGATTTAATGCAGAAACACCACTCAGGCCACTTCCACTACGAATTATTCTTTACTATTCTTGAGAATTTTCAATCACGACAAAAATTATAGAAAATCCCAAGTTCCTACTATTCGAAAAATATCGGAATTTCGACATTTCAAGAAAACCACCTCCATGGAGAAAGAAAAATAAAATTTCTTGCTGGACTTAATCCTGAAACTCTACTTAGGCCATTTTAATAACGTACTATTTTTCACCCTCCTTGAGAATTTTCAATTATGACAATAGATAGATATAGAAAATCCCAAGATTTTATTACTCCAAACTTTTTTGGACTTCGAAAAATATCAGGATCTCGATATTTCAAGAATTCCATCACTAAGAAAAAAGAAAAATAATATTTCTCCACGAACTTCACTAAGAAACTCCATTGAGGCCATTTTCATTACGACCTATTCTTCACTTCTCTTGAGAATTTTCAATCACGACCAAAATTATAGACAATCCCAAGATCCTCATAGTCAAGACTTCTTTGGGCTTCGAATAATATTGGGATCTCGATATTTTAAGAAAATCACCACCAAAAATAAATAAAAGATTAAATTTTTCCGCGGATTTAATCTAGAAATTCCACCGAGGCCATTTTTATTACGATCTAACTATTCTTTGCCTTTCTTGAGAATTTTCAATCGCGACAAAAATTATAAAAAATCCCAAGATACTAACACTCGAAACTTCTTTGGGCTTCGGAAAACATCGGGATCTCGACATTTCAAGAAAGCCACCATCAAGAGAAAAGTAGAAATTAAATTTCTCCGCGGATTTAATCCAGGAACACCACTGAGGCCATTTTCATTACGAACTAACTATTCTTCGCTTTTCTTCATAATTTTCTATTATGACCAAAATTATAGAAAATCCCAAGATCCTTCTAGTCAAAACTTCTTCGGACTTTGAAAAGTATCGGGATCTCGACATTTTAAGAAACCCATCACCAAGAAAAAAGAAAAATAAAATTTCTGCCTGGACTTCATCCAGATATTCCACTTATTGCTAGACCATTTTAATAACGTACTATTTTTCACTCTCCTTGAGAATTTCCAATTATGTCAAAAATTATAGAAAATTCCAAGACCCTCCTAGTCAAAGCTTCTTTGGGCTTCGAAAAATATTAAGATTTTGATATTTTTAGAAAATCACTTCCAAGAAAAAAGAAAATAAAATTTCTCCCCGAACTTCATCTAAATACTCCATTTATTGTTAAACCATTTTAATAACATACTATTTTTCATCCTCCTTGAGAATTTCCAATTATGTCAAAAATTATAGAAAATCCCAAGACCCTCCTAGTCAAAGCTTCTTTGGGCTTCGAAAAATATTAGGATTTTGACATTTCTAGAAAATCACTTCCAAGAAGAAAGAAAATAAAATTTCTCCCTGGACTTCATCTAAATATTCCACTTATTGTTAAACCATTTTAATAACATACTATTTTTCACCCTCCGTGAGAATTTCCAATTATGTCAAAAATGATAGAAAATCCCAAGACCCTCCTAGTCAAAGCTTCTTTGGGCTTCGAAAAATATTAGGATTTTGACATTTCTAGAAAATCACTTCCAAGAAGAAAGAAAATAAAATTTCTCCCTGGACTTCATCTAAATATTCCACTTATTGTTAAACCATTTTAATAACATACTATTTTTCACCCTCCGTGAGAATTTTCAATTATGTCAAAAATGTCGATTTCCTCTTGGGAGAGCGGGAAAAAAAGAAGCGGTGGACGTCTAAATTGGAATTCCCTGTCCGCGTGGCGGAAAAGCGCGTGTACCGCTCTCGGCCGAGCGTCGCTATCGCAATTTCCTGCAGCATAAATCAGCGTCCGCGAGGAACGCGGGACGCAGAGGCGTCGCTGAGGCGTCGTCGCGATTTATTCGAACGCCGCGCGCGTTTCTTAGCTCGCGCGCGGCCGTCGTTTAATTCCGTCCGCGGAACACGCGTCCTCGGCAGATGCATGACCGATATCGGCTGACGATACAACGCTTATCTCGCGTTATTCCTCTCGAACGAGCCGAGCTTCCTTCGCGGATCCGTACACGTACTTACGCGCACGCGTGTAATTATGCGCGACGCGGAGTCCGCGCTACACTCGAGCGTGTTCGCGTGATATATCGACGCTTACGCGCGTCGCGGTGCCGTGGGACCAGAGGCCACCGATCCACGCTTCGCAGGATACGCGAAAATTGAATCTAACACGGGGTTTTAAGAAGCTTTGTCGATATTTCTGTAGCTCGGTAGAGGAATGAGAAAAGTGAGCAGAGGTACAGGAATTGTACAGGATGTGTGAGAATGTACAAGAATTATAGGTATTATAAGTATACTTACAGAAGTATTCGTAATAATAGGTACATATGAATAATTCTGTGACTCACTGCGGATCTAAGTTAGCAACGCAGTGTGAGTTATATGAGGTTCAGAGAGTAGTATGATAGAATGGCAGAGGGTAGTTACGTTTTTCAGTCTGAGGGTATACAAGAATTATAAGTACTATAAGTATTACAAGTATACTTAACAATAAGTACGAATACTTCTGTGACTCACTATAAGATCTAAATTGGTAACACAGTGCAAGATATGCGAGGTTGAGACAGTGATATGACTGAATAGGAGAGGGTAGTAATGGTTTTCGGTGTGAGAATATAAAAGAATTATAAATATAAGTATACTTACAGAAGTATTCATAACAATAAGTACGAATACTTCTGTGACTCACTATAAGATTTAAATTGGTAACACAGTGCAAGATATGCGAGGTTGAGACAGTGATATGACTGAATAGGAGAGGGTAGTAATGGTTTTCGGTGTGAGAATATAAAAGAATTATAAATATAAGTATACTTACAGAAGTATTCGTAACAATAGG